GATGCATACCTGTAATCCCAGCACTCAAGAAGTAGAGGCAATTGGATTAAAAGTCCAAGAACATCTTTGGCCACGTAGCAAGTTTGAAGCCAGTGTGAGCTACATGAGAACCTATCTCAAAAGAAAAGAAAATGGGATAGAGAGATGGCTCAGCAGTTAAGAGCACTGGCTGCTCTTGCAGAGGACCTGGGTTTGGTTCCCAACACCCACATGGCAGCTAACAACCATCTGTAACTATAGTTAAAGGGGATCTGACACCCTCTTTTAGCTTCTATGGGCATTGCATACAGGTGGTGCACTTATATAAATGCAAGCAAAACATACACATGAAATAAAAATAAATAAATTTGCTGGGCATAGTGGCACATGCCTTTTGTCCCAGCACTCGGGAGACAGAGGCAGGTGGAACTCTGTGAGTTTAAGGCCAGCCTGGTCTACTTAGTGAGTTCCAGGTCAGCTGTAGCTATAGGGAGACCCTGCCTCAAAAGACAACAACAACAACAACGATAATAATAATGATAAATTTTTTGGTATTTTTTTGGCCCTTTTTATTTTGAGACAGGGTCTCCCTGTAGCCCCAGCTGTCCTGGAACTCACTATGTAGACCAGGCTGGCCTTGAACTCACAGAGATCCACCTGCTTCTGCCTCCCGAGTGCTGGGATTAAAGGTGTGCGCCACCAGGCCCAGCTAAATTTTTTTAAAAAGAAAAGAAAAAAATTTTTTGAGGCAGGGTCTCCGTGTAGCCCCAGCTGACCTGGAATGCACTATGTAGCCCAGGCTGGCCTGGAACTCACAGAAATCCACCTGCCTCTGCCTCCTGAGTGCAATATATTTTTTTAAATTTTGAGATGCCTCACCATGTCACCCATGTTGGTCTCAAACTTGAGGGCACAAGTGATCTTCCCACCTCAGCCTCCTGAATAGCTGGGACTATGGGCACAAGTGTGGGTGTGCCACCATGTTTGGTTATTATTTTTCAATTAGTTTCTTTCTTTTCTTTTCTCTTCTTTTTAAGTGTTAGGACAATTTTATTAGAGTTTGAAAGAAAAATCCTCAGGTAAGTTGTAAATCTCAGCAGCTGCCTTGAAGAGGAGAATGGAGGGGAGAAGAAAAAAGTCACACAGCCATGTCTGCTTACAACTGGCTTAGAGCTCAGCCATGTGTCGGACTAGCAGCCATATTGGGGGGGGGTGCTTTGGAGAAAGAGCAAAGAAACCCAAAATGTTGGGGAAGCCCAAAGTGTTAGGGAAAGTATGTTTAGAAAACAGATAGAGAGAGGAGATTCTGCTTTTCTATAGAATTCAGAAAGGCAGGCAGACTTCCAGAAAGCTACATGCCTGTGAGCCAGGCCATAAACATAACATTCCCTTCCCTTCCCTTCCCTTCCCTTCCCTTCCCTTCCCTTCCCCTTCCTTCCTTCCTTCCTTCCTTTCTTTCTTACCGTGATATTCAGGTTTTAAAATATAAGATCACATGTAGCCCAGACTAGCCTTAAATTCCCCCTCCCCTCCCTTCCCTTCCTTCTTCCTCTTCCTCTTCTTTCTCTTTCTCTCTCTCTTTCCTTCCTTCCTTCCTTCCTTCCTTTCCTTCTTTCTTTCTTTCATTCTTTCTTTCCTCCCATGTTGGACATTGAGCCGGAGGCCTCCTGTGCAAGTGCTGACCTTTTGAGCTGTGTTCTCAATCATACATTTTAAAATTTTAACCAAGAATCAAATTGTGCTTCATATTATTAACTTTAGCTTTAAAACATTTTTAAAAATTCTTTTTATTATGAGAGAGAGAGAGAGAGAGAGAGAGAGAGAGAGAGAGAGAGAGAGACACAACTAGCAGGAGTTGGTTCTCTTCTCCTGCCATGCAGTGCCCAGGGATCCAGCTCAGGTCATCAGACTTGATGGAAAGCGCCCTTTCCACTGAGGCTTGGTCTTGTTGGCTTGATCTTTCATAATTTTAAAAAAATGTTCAGTTTAGTGAGAAAACTAAAAAATGCTTAAAATAGAAAACACAGCATTAAAAAAGAAAATAGTCAAGGACTGGGAAGATAACTCAGTTGGTGAAGTGCTTGCCTTGTAACCATGAGGACCTGAGTTTGATCTCCAACACACATAAAAAAAAGCTGAATATCGTGAGCTGAGTTTGCAATCCCAGCATGAGAGAGGTAGAGAAAGGCAAACCCCTGGGGCTGGCTGGTCAACCTACCTAACCTATGTGGTAAACCCCAGGCCAGTGAGAGAACCTGTTTCAAAAAACAAAAATGATACCTGAGGTGGACTGCTACCTTCTAACCTCCACATTCAGATGTACACACATGCACTTGAACAAACATGCATACACATGCACATATACAAAAAGAAGAAAAATAGCCAGTGCTCAGGAGACAAACCCAGGAGGAACACTGCAAGTTCAAGGTTGACCTGGACTACCCAGCAAGACCTTGTCTCAAAAAACAAAAAGATTGGCTGGGGATATGACTCAGTTAGTAAACTGCTTTCCATAAAAGCATGAATATTGGAGTTCAATCCCTAGCACCCAGGTGAAAAGCCAGGAGTGGTGGCACATGCCTTCCCAGCTCTGGGGAAGTAGAGACAGGAATATCCTGGCCAAGGGTTTGTTGGTCAGCCATGTGAGTTAGTGAGCCCCAGGGTCAGTGAGAGACCCTGTCTAAGGTAGACAACAGGTGAGGAAAACAACCTGCCTCCACACTCAGGCACACATGTGTACATATGAGCGAGCACGTATAGGTATATACACCACACCAAGAAAAAAAAAAGGAGGAGAAAGAAAAATATTATCCACAATCTCATCTCCCAGAGAAAAATACAACTTTGTGTTTTTCTTTAAAAATTATAATTTTCCACTGGGCATGGTGGCACACGCCTTTAGTCCCAGCACTTGGGAGGCAGAGGCATGAAAATCTCTGTGAGTTTAAGGCCAGCCTGGTCTATATAGTGAGTTCCAGGTCCACTGGGGCTACAGGGAGACCTTGTCTAAAATAAATAAATAAAAACAGAAAAAATTATTAAAAAATTGTAAGACAATTACCAAATATACACAAAAAGGGAGGATTTTAAATATGTATCCCAAGACAAAAAGAAACTTTATAAAAAGAAAATAATGAGGCTAATTAGACAATTCAGTGGGTAGAGAGAGGCACTTGTGCACAAGCCTGATGACTTGAGCTACATCTCTAGGAGTTACAGGGTGGCAGGACAGAAACTGTACCGGGCAGCTGTCCTTTCATTTAAAAAAAAATGGGGATGGTGATTTAATTCAGTGATAGAGCAAATTCTTGGCGTGAGACCCTGGGGTTAATCTCTAGAACCAACGAGAAACAAGGGAGTAGTAAGGATTGTACTGTATTCTCTAATTTGTAAGTTATCTTTTAATTAAAGAAATTATTTTAGGGCTGGAGAGATGGCTCAGCGGTTAAGAGCACTGACTGCTCTTGCAGAGGACTCAGGTTTGATTCCCAGCACCCACATGGTGGCTACGAATTGTCTTTGACTCCAGTTCCAGGGGAATCCGAAGTCCTCTTCTGACCTCTGCAGCATTGCACAACACAGGTGCACTCACATACATGCAGGTAATACACTTGTACACATAAAAAAAATTTATTTTATGTGAATGAGTGCTATGTTTGCATGTAAGTGCACCAATGTGGTGCAATGCCCAGGGAGGACAGAAGAGAGTGTTGGATACCCTGGAACTGGAGTTATAGACAGTTGTTAGTGCCATATGGGTGCTGGGATTTGGACCCGGATCTTCTGCATGAATAGCCAGTGTTCTTTTAATTTGGGGTCTTTTTGAGACAAGGTCTCCCTGTGGCCCCAGCTGTCCTGGAACTCACCATATAGACCAGGTTGGCCTTGAACTCACAGAGATCCGCCTGCCTCTGCCTCCCGAGTGCTGGGATTAAAGGCATGCGCTACCACGCCCGGCAAGAACAGCTGGTATTAACTGCTGAGCCATCTCTCCATCCCTGTGCCAGTTATTTTTTTACATATTTAGCACAACATGAATATTTTTGAACAACTTATTTAGTCACTGTGTAGTAACCTATTTTTAAAATATTTGTTTAGGGGCTGGAGAGATGGCTCAGCGGTTAAGAGCACTGATTGCTCTTGAGAAGGACCTGGGTTCAATTCTTAGCATCCACATGGTAGCTACGAACCGTCCTTAACTCCAGTTCCAGGGGAATCGGAAGCCCTCTTCTGACCTCTGTGGCATGACTTAAGTGCACTCACATGCATGCAGGCAATACGCTCATACAAATGAAATAAAAATAAGAAGTAATTTTTTTTTAAACAAAGGGGGGGGGGCGCCAGGCATGGTGGCGCATGCCTTTAATCCCAGCACTCGGGAGGCAGAGGCAGGCAGATATCTGTGAGTTCAAGGCCAGCTTGGTCTACATAGTGAGTTCTAGGACAGCTGGTATAACTCGGTTAGAGTGTTTGTCTACCATGTATGAAGCCCTGGAAAAAGACATGTTTGCACATGCCTGTAATCCCAACATATGGGAGGTAGAGGCAATAGGATCAGGAGTTCAAGGACATTCTCAGCCAGAGTGAATTTGAGGCCAGCCTGGGCTACATGCTATCCTGTTTCAAAAAAGAAATGAGATGGGCATGGTGGTGCATGTCTTTACTATCCCAGCAGCACTCGGGAAGCAGAGGTAGGTGGATCTTTCTGAGATAAAGGCTAGCCTGATCTATATATAACAAGTTCAAGTTCAGACCAGCTGGGGGCTACAGGGAGACCCTGTCGAGAGAGAGAGAGGAGAGAGAGAGAGAGAGAGAGAGAGAGAGAGAGAGAGAGAGAGAGAGAGAGAGAAAGGAAAAGGAGAAAAGGGCTGGTGATATGATTCAGTAAATTGAAGTGCTTGCCCACAGGCCTGACAACCTAAGTTCAATCCCCAGGACCCACAAGGTGACAGGGAAGAACCAACCCCCAAGAGTCATCTTCTGACCTCCACACACATGCTGTGGTATACATGCCCCCCCAATTAATACTTAAAAAAAGAAATATTTATTTAATCAGTCTTTATCATCACACATTTATGTTGTTTCCCATTTTAGAAAAACACTGTTTTGCACATGATGAAAAGAACAGTCTTGGGGCAGAATCCGGACAAGTCCCTGCAGCCATCTCCTCCTCCTTCCTGACCCCATCCTGTAAGGTCTTCGCCCAGACCTTCCAGACCTACCTGGGAGTATTACCAGGATCACCAGGGCAAGATCCATAACCAAGCGGCCTCTAACCCCTGCTTCTTCCAGGACAGAGGCTATGCTCAATCTGTCTCAGCCTTGGGATCATTTCTCAGCACAAAGCACAATCTGGTCTGTGGTCGGTTCTGGTGTCTCCCCCTCCTCACAACCCCATATACTGTCTTCCCACTCCCTAAGTTCAAGGTCCTCAGTGCTGTGGTGGTGCAGACATGGGTATGACATTCTCATATAGGGGTTCCTCCTCTTCATCCTGCTTCCAGGGACCCTGTTCCAGGAGGCTGTTCCCAGAGATTGGCTCCAGGACTACCCCTAAGCTCTCAATGCCATCCCCCAGACCCCTGGATGCTTCCTCTGGCCGAACTCCTGTGGACTCCATGGTTCCAGGGACAGTGGCACCCAGGGCTAAGCCAGAAGTCTGGGACAGCCCAGGGCTACCCTGATTCCGACCCAGGGCTCGGCGCAGAGGCTTAGGGATGACACTCTTGACTTTGGGCTCTGCCTGATCTTTCTGGAAGTTTCCCACTCGTCGGAAGACAGACCAGACAGAGCCCTCAGATCTCTGGGGTGTCCCTGCCAGCATGTAGATTGTGGCCACAGAGCCTGGGATCTCCTGGATTCTGCCATCAGTGGTTTCCACACACTCAGCCAATGTTGGGCCACCAGGTGGGAGCTGATGGTGGCTCGTGGCAGCCTCCCTGTGGCTGGTAGCAGTAGGAACATTGTCCTCTGTGTTTGCTTGCTCTATGCCTGTGGACTCCTCAGCCTCTTGGCCTTCAGGACGTGGCTGAGCTCCCCTGGAGAGTCTCTTGGGTTTTCGTATGGGGCTGGAGAGTTCCTCAGAGTTTTGGCCATTCTGTGGTGCAAACTTGGTGCCTTCAGCGAAGGAGACAGATGGTCGCTTGGCCCGAGCCAAACTAGAGGTGCGTGGGATAGGGAATGGTGTGGAGGCATCCTCAGGGGGAGGGAAGGGGCCTCCAGTCAGGCTGGCCTCTGGTGATTCTTCCTGGGCCACAGGGGCCACCTCTGGCAGAGGAGACAGAAGAACTTGGTTAAACGTGGGCAAACTACTCCAGTTTGTCCTACTTATAGCTCAGCATCTTCCCAGTGTCTCTAGATATAGCAAGAAAGAGAGTAAGGCAGGAGAGAGGTGGTGCAACAGACACCACTCCTTTACTCAGTGCTCTGTCCCTCCCTGCTGTGAACACTGCTACATGCTAGCCACATCCCTTACCTATGGGCCTTGTGCACACTGTTCCCTTCATCCAAAACACCCATTGCCACTTCGTAATTTTCACTTGGCTAATTTCTGATTCTGCTAGACTCAACACTATTACTAACACAGACATATTCGTGACCCCAGTCACTCCAGGCATGGCTAGCTTTTGATTCCCACCTTTTACACCCCCATTATAACATGAACCACTCTGTGCTCTGTCATCTGATGATATATCTGATTATTGCCCACTAGACTACAAGCTTGGTGAGGACAGTCATCTCCTTTGTCCTGAACTGTGTCCCCAGAGCTAGAAACAGAGAGTGGCAGAGGATGCGCACTAGACATACATTTGATAAAGGAACACAGAAAGTAAGGAGGTAGGCAGGACTGCTTTGGGTTGAGCAGGTTGTTAGGGGACTACCTTCTCGGGGTGGCATGAAGTAGGCATGACTTTCATCCTCTGCTCCAGAGTCAGGATCAGAAGAAAAGGAATCATCAGAGGCCCAGGCAGCAGAGGGTGGCTCAATGAAGCTGTGGTTGAAGGGGACTTCCGGGTCGTGATGAGAAACTGTAGGGGCTCTAGGTCAGGCACATAGCCTTATGGGAAGTCTTGTCCCATCTTGGCCCCTGACTCCTGACTCTGACCACCAGTGCCCACTTACCTGTTACCCAGGGTAACTTGTAGTTACTGAGGGAGCCACAGGGTAGAGCAGAGCCCAGGCTGGTCAGTGCCCCCCAGACCTGCTGCTTCATCCTGAATAAGGCAGTTCCATCTCTCTCTGGCCTGAGAGGTTGGGGGAGGGAAGGTGATCAGTGCACAAGACCCAAAGTGGCCTGTGTCACCTTGGCAGGATGTGACAAGTGATTACATCTACTTCTATGGCTCTGTATTAATGTCAGAATAAAATCCAAATTATGGAGCCCAAGATCTGAATCACAGAAGGCAGCATGGCTCTGGAGCCAGGCAGACCTGGGAAACCACTTTGGCTCTGATTTTACTTTCTTGGGCCTCAAGTTCCTCATTTGTAAATCTATCAGCTTTTGAAAGGACCCAATACAGTACCAGGTATCTGGCAATGATTTACCCAAAATGCAATTCTTTGTGACTGTCACCCTAGCTAAGTACAAGAACCAACCCCTATCCCCACTCTCCTCTACCCCCAAGCTGGAAGTGACCACTTGTGGTCTTTCCTCTGACAGCCTATGCACAAATCCTCAGCTTCCTGTGGGGACTGTTCACCCACTCTGAGGCTGTATGCCATGGGGCAGGGGCAACAGGATCTGCTCATCTGTGAATATCCAGAAGTACAGAGGACAAAATCAAGGATTAGGGTGTGAATTAATAGGAGAGTGCTGGAGCCCAGTATGGTGGCACATTCCTGGATCCCAGCACTCAGGAGAAAGAAGCAGAAGGATGTCTGGTTCAAGACTAGCCTGTTCTACATGGTGATATACTGTCTCAAAAACAAACAAATGAGCACTCAGGAGGCAGAGGCAGGTGGATTCCTATGAGCTTGAAGACTGCTTGGTCTATATAGCGAGTTCCAGGCCAGCTGGGGCTACAGGGAGACCCTGTCTCAGTAAGACCCAAACAAACAATAGACAGACAACGCTGGGGATGAAGCTCAGTGGTAGTACACTTGCTTAGTATGTGCGAGGTCCTGGCTCTGGTCCCCAGCATGAGGGGACAGAGGGAACACTGGACAAAGAGTCCAGAAAGCCAGGGCTTTGTGTGAGCTATGAGCAGCTGAGATACCATGGGCCAGTGTCTCTGTGAATTACAGAAAATAAACCTTTCACTGCATGGCATCAAAGGAGCTGAGTCGTGAAGAACAAAGCAACAGGCAAACAACATTTTCTTGGCAGCCCTGCTGGCCCAATGCTTCTTCCCTAATCCATCTCTCAGTAAGTCATGTTTTCTGCAGTACCATTGCACACACTTTTATGTCCCTCTCCAGGAATTTTTGAGATCTGTTCTCTTCCCCTTCTCTGTTGCAGCTGCTTCTCTGCCCCCTCATCTCCCCTCTTCACCCCTCCCCTCCTTGAAGGACCTTGCCATGATGCAGGTCTGATTTTGAGTTAGCTGCCACCCAGTGCCCATGTCACTTCCCTGTCAAAGGTTTCTAAGGAAGACAGGTGTCTCTAGGCCTCAGCCTATGCCAAGTTTCTCTGTTACCTCTGACCTGAGCGTGTGACAAGCCCAGCCCTTCCTCACCCCAAGAAGAACATACATAGCAACCAGAGTTTACCTGTCCTTGGGGTTCGGTTGGGTAGCCCAGCAGCAGTAGATACAGCAGGTGATGCCCAGGAGGAGCAGCAGAGGTACCAGGATGCCTGTGATGAGGGCAGTCTTGCCATGGTGGCCTAAGGAACAGGAGATGGTCTCATATTTAGGACTTTCCGGGGCTTTCCAGGATCCCACGTTATGTATGACTTTTGGCCTTGAGTTACCTCCTCCCCAAGAATCTTCTACCTCTCCTTCTCCCAGGATGTCTCTCTACTGGTCTGTCCCCTCCTGATGTTCCAGGGGTCATTCCATGTCAGGTGGCAGATTCTTGGGCTGTGCAGAGTCCAGCCTGCTTGCTCATTTCCTGGCTCTATGTAGCTTCTCAGGGGCAGAGGCTCTGTCATATATATTTTTTTTAAAGATTTATTTGTTTTGTTTTATGTGCATGAGTGTTTGCCTGCATGTATGTATGTAAACCACATGTATGCCTGGTACCCTCTGAGGCCAGAAGAGGGCATTGGATTCCCTAGAACTGGAGTTACAGACAGTTGTGAGCTGCCATGTGGGTGCTGGGAACCAAACCTTGGACCTCTGCAAGAGCAGCCAGTGCTCTCAATTGCTGAGCCATATCTCTACCCCACCACATCTTTTTTTTTTTTCTATTTTTGAGACAGGGTCTCACTATATAGCCCTGGCTGGAGCTCACCATTAGGCTGTCCTCAAACTCACAGTGATCTACCTGCCTGTGCCTCCTAAGTGCTGGGATTAAAGGGTTGTGCCACTACACCTGGTTGTTTTTATTTTATTAATTTTTATTTTTCATTTTTTTGTCTTTTTGAGACAGGGTCTCCCTGTAGCCCCAGCTGGCATGGAACTCACTATGCAGACCAGGCTGGCCTTGAACTCACAAAGATCTGCCTGCCTCTGTCTCCCGAGTGCTGGAACTAAAGGCATGCAGCACCATGCCTGGCATTTTTAATTTTTAATTTTTTTATTTTTTTGGTCTTTTTGAGATAAGGTCTCCTTATAGCCCCAGCTACCCTGGAACTCACTATGAAGACCAGGTTGGCCTCAAATTCACAATCTGCTAAGTGCTGGGATTAAAGGTATATGCCACCATGCCCCGCTCTGCTTTAAATATTTTTTTTACATTTATTTATAGTGTGTGTGTGTGTGTGTGTGTGTGTGTGTGTGTGTCTGTACGTGTGGCACATATGTGCCCCAGCATACATGTGGAAGTCAGAGGACAACTTGAAGGGGTTGGTTCTCTCCTTCTACATGTGGATCTGAGGGATCAAACACAGGTTGTCAGGCTTTGCAGGAGGTACCTTTACCTGCTGAGCCATCTCATCAGCCCTCTGCCATATCTTTAGGGGATCCCAGAGCATCCATATACAGCTCAAGTTTGCGGAATGCTCTGAAGTAGGCCCACCCTCCCCAGCAGCTGAAGCTCCTGGAGCCCATGTTAAAGGGCCAAACATTTCCTCATTTTCTCTAGACCTTACCTAGCTGGCAGGCTCCAGTCACAGGGTGGCAGAGCCCCTCTGGGCACTGGCAGGGGATAGAACAGTTGTTTCCATGGAAACCAGATGGGCAGGAACTGTTACAACTAGAAATAATAAGGAAAGGCAAGCAGACGTTCAGGTGAGAAGGATGGCAGTGGGCAGAGGAAAAGGCCAAGTAGATTTCTAGGCACTGTCTTCTCCCCTGTCAGACAGACTTCCTTGGATGATTCCCCAAGAGATTCCTCTGACTTCTAAGCCATATTCCAAGTGGCCTTGCATTGTTGAGAGTTCCTCAGTGTGGAGACCATGGGCAGAGTCCACCTCTGATAATCTTTATCTCTTTATTCCCCAGACTTAACATGGAAGAAGCATGTCCTGCCCCTAACTCTCTGGACCCCAGTCCCTCCTCTGTAAGGGGAGGAATCCTCTACTTGCCACATACTATGTGCTATTCTTTAGAGGGAGACCTGCCTAGAGATACTGACTGCCACCAGAAGACCTAGAGGAGCAACAGTGGGGTCTGGATCCTATCCCTAAGTCAAGTCTTCATCTGGGTAGTGGACCAACCCTTTTTTCTTTTCTCTTTCTTTTCTTTCTTTCTTTCTTTCTTTCTTTCTTTCTTTCTTTCTTTATTTATTTATTTATTTTTGTCTTTTTGAAGCAGGGTCTCCCTGTAGCACCAGCTGTCCTGGAACTCACTATGTAGACCAGGCTGGCCTTGAACTGGGTCTCCCTGTAGTTCCAGCTGGCCTGGAACTCACTGTGTTTTCACAGAGCTGCACCTGCTTCTGCCTTCAGAGTGCTGGGGTTAAAGGCATGTACCACACCCAGCTCTATTTTCTTTCCCATTTATTTATTTTTTAGTCTTTTCAGATTAGGCATCATCCAACTTTCCACAGAAGATACCATCCCACACGGGAGAACTTTTTTTTCAATTTATTATTTTTATTTTATGTGTATGTATGTATTGCCTGCATGTAGGTAAGTGCACCCGTGTCATGCAATGCCCACGGAGGACAGAAGAGGCTGTCAGATCCCCCTGGAACTGGAGTTATGGACAGTTGTTAGCTGCCATATGGGTGCTGGGATTTGAATCTGGGTCTTCTGCAAGAACAGCCAGTGTTCTTAACTGCTGAGCCATCTCTCTAGCCCCAGGAGAACTAACTTCTTAGTTATGGGAGTGATGGGAGGGTTTCTGGGAAGTGGAGCAGCTCAGGAAAGGAAATTTAGGAAATATTACACGGAGGACTGACCTCATCTTGCATACTCTCTTGTCCCCAGTGCCTAGTCCTCACCTGTTCCCCCAGTAGCCGGCACTACAGACACATTTCCCTGTCACGGCGTCACAGGTCCCCTGAACACAGGTGGGGCAGATAGATCTGCAGTCCTCCCCAAAGGTACCAAGGGGGCAGGGGTTTTCACACCTGACGCACATGGGGAGAGGGAAGATTCAGGGACTGAGAGAACAGGAAGGCCACAGAGGGACCCTACAACCTCCCCATCGTACCTGGACACAGAGACCCAAAGGGCCATCCCTCAGCAGTGAAGCTCAGGTATGAATGGCCTTGAAGCTGAAGCCAAACCCAGCAGGTGACAGACTACAGACCCCTGGAGGGGGAAGCAGGAAGTGCACCAGGGAGCAGGCAGCTAGAAAAGCAGCCTGGGGAACTATGTGAAAGTGAGAAGGGGTGGCTCTCCCAGAGGCAGCCACTGAGAGGATCCTAGGAGAAAGGGTGCCCAAAGCAGTTAGCCCTGTCACCTGTGCCCCAGCCAACCAGGGTCACAGCGCTGGCAGTGCCCAGTTTCTGCATGACAAGGCTCCCCAAGCCGGCAGTGAGGGCACTGCTCATGGCAGCTCTCTCCAAAGGTGCCAGGTGGACATGGCTGCTTGCACTGTGTCCCGTTCCAGCCCGGTTTGCAGGACTCACAGCTGCCAGTGACTGGAGAGCATGTTGTATTCAGCTTACAGTGGCCACAGCTGCCAAGAAAAGGGATTCATGGGGCACTTGGTGGCAGATTGAGTGCCATGCCCTCCAACATGGGCACTGCTCAATAGCTCAGTCTAGGCCCAGACTCACTATGTAGTCAAAGATGAACCAATTCCCCTGCCTCCACCTTCCATGTGCTGGAATTACAGGCATATATCACACTCAAATTACTTTGTTTCTTCTAATACTAGACAGAGTCTAGCTATCTCGCTATGCAGCCCAGGCTGACCTCTAATTCATGATCCTCCTGACTCTATTTCCCAAGTGCTGGGATTATAGGCCTGCCCCACCACACCAGGCTGTACTACTAGTTCTTTTTGTTTTGTTTTATTCTTGAGACAATCTCACTTATGCAGCGCTGGCTTGGAACTTGCTATGTAAACCAGGATTGGAACTTGCAGCTTTGTAGGGATCCCTCTGCCTCAGCCTCCTGAGTGCTGGGATTATAGGGGTGTGTCACCATGCCTAGTTTGTACTTTTGAACATTAATTTGATGAAAGAAGAGGGCGTGACTGGACCTATATTATGGAAGGCTTTCTTTCATCTCTGCCTTGTATAGATTCAGGCGATATCTCTGAGGCACCCCCCACCCTCACATCTGTCTCACGGCAGTGTGCCCACAGCTGCCTGCAGCTCCTTTTCTTCCTTTCCCCCAAGGGCCAGCTCACCTTTCAGTGCATTGCACCCCATAGCGGCCAGGGCTGCAGGGCAGCTCGCAACGGGTGCCATGGAAGCCAGGCGGGCAGGAGCACTGGCCGGAGTTGACGCTGCATTGGCCACGCTCACACTCACACTTCTGACGACAGTTGGAACCCCACCAGCCCTGCAGGCAGGTACAACGGCCTGTCTCCTGCATGCAGGGCGATTTGTGGCAGTTGCAGCTAAAGCTGCAGCGGCGGCCCCACCAGCCCACTGGGCATAGGCAGGTTCCTGTGGCCTGGTCGCAGCGTGCCCCATGGTTGCACTGGCACATGCGGAGGCACTTGGATGACCACCAGCCAGGGTCGCAGTGACAGGAGCCCGTCTTGGGGTCGCAGTGACCGTGAGAACCGCAGGTGCATGGAAACTCACAGAGTCTGCCCCAGTGAGTGGGTTGGCACTGACACATGCCCGTGGCCGGTTCACACTGGCCATGTGGGTAGCAGGGGCAGGACTCACGGCAGTCGGGGCCCCAGTACTGGCCTGGGCAGCCTGTGGGCATGGAGGTGGGAAGACAAGCAGGTTTAGGGCCTGGCACAGATTCTCAGCCTGCTCCTTCCTCAAGGAAGAAGGCATGTGCCCACCCTTCAAGAGTCAGGGAAAGACCCTTGGAACATCTGGTAATCTCTCCCCTGAAACATTTCCTGCCCCAGATTCAAACCGACAAAACCCTTAGCCTTGGCCTAATCTCCACTTCACATTCCTGAACACAGATACCAAATGGGACAGAGATGTGCCCAGTATCACAGATGGGCAGGATTTCATTTACATTTCCTCCCCTTCCCTGATAAGGGATCTTCCTGCCCTTGGAAGTGGGCTGGCATTCAGATTTCAGATAATACTGCTCACCACGATGGCAAAAGAGTCCCTATTTCCCTATGTCCCTTCTAACCCAGAGTCCTGCTGCCTGCCCACTCACTCCTTTCCCATTCCCTTCTTTCTTCCAGAGTGGTCAGAGGGCCGAACTCCAGGCTCCTTTTGCCTTCCACCCAAGTGTAAGGTATATATGGGGAAGTATGAGGATGCATTCACTGCGCAGTTAATGGCAGTCACAGGCACCTTACTGAGAAGCTGAAAATGAAGGCAAAGGTGTCGAGAGGGCAGGGCTTTGTGGATACGAGTAAAGAGAGCACTTCCCATTTCTGGGCCTCAGTTTCCTCAGTGAAACTTAGGATTCTAGCTCTGCTGCTCTCAGGTTACATTTCTATTTGCTCTGTTCACCTTCTGCCCCTCACCCAGTCCTGCCCAGCAACTTCACCCTGTTGTTGAAACTCACGGGAGCTGCACTGGGCCCCAAAGAATCCAGGTTTGCATCGGCAGAGACCTGGCTTCACGCACACTTCATCTTTCCCGCAGGCATCAGGCCCCTCACAGATGGCTGAAAAATACCCCACCCAGGTTGGAAGGACAGAAGCACAAACAAGTAGGGGTCATCCCTGCCCCTCTCACCCACTCCCTCAATTCATCCTCTTAGTGCTGGGGATGGTGTGTCATAGGGTGGACCCAGCTTCTAGGGCTCAGGAGGGGGGATAGGATAGGAAGGGCTGGCTCATATCCTTCCTTCTCCTTGGCTGGGGGTTTGTCTGGATACTCACGGATGGTGCATTCTTGATCTTTCTGCCTCCAGCCTGGACAGCACTGGAGCTCAGAGGGGCTGTAGGGCAGAAAGGAGGCAGCCAGGCCCCACAGAGTGGGTCACTGATACTGGCTAAGGTTTGCAAGTCTTCCTCAGCCACACTGGGGAGATCAACCTTGGCATCATGGTCCATGAGTCACAGTGCCCCCAACCTCTTTCCTTTTCTTCCCTGGCCTTCCCACCATCTTCCCTGGCTACCGACCACCTGCCAGGCTACCCCTCAAATCTACCTTCCTTCAGGCCCATGACCTCTTCCCCATGTTCTTACTCTCCAAAAATGACTCAACACTAGTTGGCCAACATCTCTATCAAACTTCCACAAGACCCACCTGCTGCCTGTACAGACGTGCTGCCCACCGGGGTCTAGCTCAGACCCGTGAGTTCCCTGAATCCAGAGCAGTAGCAATGGTATCAGCTGTCCTAGCCCCATGGCGGCCAGTGTAGTAGGAGGGCCTGGTTCAATCTGGCCCACAGCTCCCAACCCCCTCCCTGCTTCCTCCCAAGGCTTTTCCTGAGGAAGCCAGGCTGGAGGGCTGGCTGCTATGAGGCACCTCCCTAAAAGGGCAGGCGGTGGCTGAACACTCAAAAACGAAGGAAAAGGTTGATATTGAGGCCTTGGGCATAGCCATCAGGAGGCCAAAAGAATCAGCCATAGGTCCCTGGGTACTGGAGACAGACAAAGGTGAGTGGGAACCACACTCCCAAAGTGAGAAGACCCCCATCTCCATGACTGGCCAGAGACCCTGGGAGGAAATCTCATCATGCCTCTGTTACTGACAGGGCTGGGAGGCAAAACAGACCACTGACGGACAAAGAGCAAATTTGGGGTATTATAGGTAGTTGTTTTATTACATTGGCTCGAGCCATCTGTACAAACTTCAGGGAGGCAGGCAGTTGGTCCTCCACCTCACAGATAGGGAAACAGGAGTTCAGAGACAACGTTAACTCTGGCCCCAAGGTGTTTTGTAGCGATATTAAGGAAGGGATGCAGGCTGAAATCCCCATCATGGCTTAGAAGGGAGCCCTGGGCTCACTTGAGGTCACACATCCATGTCCAGCCACAGTTCAGAGTTGGGCCTTTGGGGCAGCTGAGGCCTTCAGACCAAAATGTTCATTGAGAGCAAAGAAGGGCCAGTCAGGAGTTGGGGGCTGGAGGGCAGCCCACAGGTTCCAGGTGGAGTTGTTGTGGGGCCTCCTCTGCTTCCTGTAGCTTGCTGGGAGCTGTGCTGCTGGTCTCAGCTTCAGGGACCTCTGTTTCACCCCGATACCATAAGCCAAAGCTAGAAGGAGAGCCAAGAAGTACACTGAGCCAGGAAGCCAGAGGTGTCAAGGATACAGGCTAAGGACAGGAAGTGGTGAGAAAGAGGCTCTGGAGGAAATAAAGGGCAGCTCGTGGTCATGGTAGCTGCAGGAGCCTACTGCAGACAAAGAAGGGAGATAACAGCTTGGGGGAGCAGGGTGAGAAGCAGTGGAGCAGAAAAAGTCAGGTGAGTCCCCTCCTACTGCCCTTCCCCTCCTCCAACATACAAATTCTGTATTCTGGATCCAGGGACTGGGGGCGCATCTTCCTTATCATTGGAGAGCAGGAGCCATGAGCCATCTTCATCATCACTAAGATGTAGAGATGTAAGGGTTATGTACCAAGGGCCTGAGAATAACAAGTCTAGCTCATGTGGAGTGTCGGGGAGGATGGAGTGACTGCAGAGCCCCTGGGCCTGGAGAGAAGGTGACCCCGGGGAGACATAGAACATCCTGAAGTTTTCAGTTATAGCCTGGCAGACAACAGGCCCCTGACAAGGCTGCAGCCACCGCCTGACTCCTCTAGTAAACAGACCCGGCCAATGAATGTGGAGAAACAGCATCAGCAGGCTTCTTCAGCAGGATGTACAACAGGCAGCATTGAGAATAGCAGGATCCAGAGAGCTGGGTGGCAGCAGGCTTGTTGAGGTGATCCACATTAGCTCAACAGATGCAGAACATGATTAGGCTGGGTCATCGAGCTCAGCAGAACTGGAGAGGAAGAAGGGTTGGCTTGGTGGTATGGAGGTAAGTCTCTTACCTACTCTCTGCTTCCTCTGGAGTCCCTAACATCTTGGCCTTGATTTTCTTCCGCTGCTTCTTGACTGCTACCTTCATGGCTTCAAGCAGAAGTCCAGGGACCCTATGGTCTGCAAGCAGCTCTCTACAGGAGCAGGTGGGAAGAAGGAGAAAGCAGGAATGGCAACAGTAGTCAGTCAAGTACCTGAACTCATTCCCCCCTCCCCAAACGCCTCCAGACTACATGGCTAACATGACGTTAGCTGCCGGTTCCCCCCAGGAAATACTTCCCTGCCTACTACTGCTGCTGTGGCTGCAGCGGTGACCCTTGGTATTGCCCTTTTTGAATGAGGGCAGGGGCTATGAAATTTTCTTTCCAGTGTCCAGGCAGGACCTGGCAGATGTCACCATTGATATATAAATGAACCAAAGAATGAGGTATGGGTCATATGGCTCAGGAACAGATGTGCCTGGCTTCCCAGCCCCTCACCGCTGGAAGTAGGCCAATTCCTCCTTGAGCAAGAATACATTGGCTTTGAGTTCGTTCCGCTCCTGAAGGATCTGCTTAAGTTCCTCCCGGCTGAAGCCACATTGATCGGCCTCTGGAGGACACCCTGGCTGCTGCGGAGCATCCACCTGTGCAAGGTCAGGATTGGTCAGAAGGTAGCCTCATTAGCCCTCTCCTAAATCCCAGCACTCACAGGAATGCCAGAGGAAGTGTCTGGCAGGAAAACTTAGGGGACAAGGTTGCTGCTATAGTAGATGACAAACTACTTCTGCAGCTCAGTGGGGGTTCAAGGCCGCCTGGGGGCCAAACGTGTGTGTGTGTGTGTGTGTGTGTGTGTGTGTGTGTGTGTGTG